TGGCTAAGATTCATGTCACAAGTGAAAGAACTGATGCACTTCAAGATACAGTATCCTCACTTCACCCAGGCTCACACTGATCAGTGGTGGAGTTTAAACCCAGAGCTGTCTAACTTTGAAAGTCCAAGATTTTCTCCACCACAGTACAACCTAAAAACAGGAGCCTGGCCTGTTGGCAGGGAGCCAGGTGCTGAGCAGGCCTGGGGACCTCCAGAAAAGAGGGTGAAGAGAGTGGGAAGAGGGGAGGAGCCCCAGGATCTGTTCCTCGACAGCCACCTGTTCCCACTCCCTGCACACAGTGCCTGACTCCGCCTGCGCTTCGTGGTTGGGAGGAGGTTTTCTCTATCTTTTGTGTCTTGAGCGGGGGTTTTTCTTGCTCTGTTCTTCCCTGCTCTCTCTCCCTGTTCCTTTTTGTAGATAATACTCCCACGGGCCTCCCACAGTAGCTCCAAAATGCAGCCTCCTGAGTTTCTTCTTGTTGACAAAGGCTTTGCACTGTCTCTGAACCGGCTCCCCCTCAGCCCTCCCCTCCCCTGTGACTGCCTACCATGGCCCCAAATGAGTTCAGAGTTGGAGGAAGGGGAGAAGACAAGATTACAGCAAGGATGGCGGCAGTCCCGACCTCCCAGTGCCCTGTTATATTTCAGTCCGCTTCAGCTCCCATTCTCCTGTCTCCTAATAGCAGGTCTTTATCCCTTCATGTGTAACAGACATCTTGGGGGTGGGCGGAAGAAGGTCAGTAATTAATTAGGAAGAGTTGAGGAAACCTAATGGACACAAATGCCAGGCCTAAGCAGGGAAATCTGGGGCTGGTAAAGGTGAAGGAAGCAGAGTGGCCAAGAGCTACACCTCGACAGGTCATCCAAAGAGAGAGGCCAGGTGGCTGCACCCTCAGCCCAGACACATATTCACAGTCCCTGAGGGGCTGGGGAAGGGGGCTGGAGACCAAGTGAACTGCTGTCTCATTCTGGATAAAAATGACATTTAGTAAATACCAGTGTTTCCTTTGGAATTAGAGACAAAAACACCAAAACAGCAACACAAGCATTACGCCTGGAGCTGCTACTGGAGGCCGTGCATCTTGGACAAAGTACCTACCTGTGTGCCTTATAAACTGGTGGTTATAATAGTAACTGCCCATAGTTATTGTGAAAATTAATGAGATAATCCAAGTGAAGCACTTAGCAAAGTGCTTGGCACAGTTAATGCTCAAAAAATGGAAGCTACTGCAATTCTTACGGGGCACCCCAGCCATTCCACCTACCCACTGCTCACCCTGGACCAGTGTCTGGTTTGGTTTAGCCCCCAAAACCAGGCAGGTAAGCGGAGCCAGAGAATCTGAATACCTTACGGGGGTGACTCTGGGCCCACCAGGACCAGATGCTCAACCCCAGGTGACCAGTGCTCTCATGTCACACAGCCTCGGGTCTCCCACAACTATGCTGGAGGGAAGCAGAATCCAGACTGAGTTCGGTGAATGTCAGGGTTGGAGTCCTGGCCCTGCCATTTACCAACTTTGTCACCTGTTCCTTTGTGAAATGGAGAAACCCAGGCTATTCCCATGGCTTCTGTGAGACTCACACGCAGATGATCTTTTCATGTCACCCATTGTTCTAGGTTCTTTCTACAGTTTTGCTTATTTAGTCCTAATAATCCTCTGATGTGGTTACTATCCCCATTTTACAAACGTGAAAACTGAGGCCCAGGGAGGCTAGTATCTTGCCTTTTAAAAAAATCACTCAGACAGCAAGTGCAGAGCACCATTCAAACCGTGCTAGCCTGGTTCCCAGGCAGGTGCGCTGTTTCAGCCTCACAGGTCTAGTGAGCTGACAGAAAACACGCCACTGCGTGGCAGATGGCTTGGCCTGTCCCGCGGAGGTGCAGTGATGGCCAGGGAACAGGTCCCTTTACACCCCTGCCGCCCGGGGCAGAAGCACGATCTGCGGACCCCTTGGGCTCACCCCTTTTGCTAGGAGCCCGGTTCTGGCATTCAGAGGGCGGGCGGAGGGTAGCGCTTCCTTTCCTCCCAGAGCACCATCTCATTTACATACAGGTGCCCTGGGCTTTGGCTTCCTGGCCGCCGAGGGGGAGGTAGAGGGGACACTCCTTGCCGAAGCGGTGGCCCGCGGGTGTGTCTCCTCGAGGGGTGGGTGCTCAGCTTCCCGTTTCTCTCGTTGAGAAACAAATTACTGTTTTGGCCCCGGCGCTTCTCTGCGCGCGGGCGGCAGCCGCGCTCCTGGCAAATCGTGGGCGGGAGGAGGAGCGGCGCTGGCGGCGAGGCCGCGGGCACGGCGGCGGGC